TGGCTCCCGCTGGGGCCCGAGGCGGACGGGGAAGGCGCCGTCCCTGAGCCCCCCGGTCCGGTGTCCGGCTGAAGCGCGATTTTTGCCGTCCTCTGTTTGCGTAGCCCTGGCAGCGCCGCTTCCCGAGGCCTCTGCCGGGGTGGGAAAGGGGCTGGCAGCGTCTTGGGCAGCCTTTCCCCCGGGACGCCCGCTTACAAACCGTAGTGAACCGTAATTAACTCGTCCTCACGATTAACCACAAATACTAGTGCCTACGCGTAGCGCTGCTTGCTCTTCTTGCCCTTGCTCTGCCTGCTCGCGGCATCACCGTGCCTGCCATGATGTTAGTTACCGTCTTGGCCTAAATGGAGTTTGTCCAGTGTAAAAAAACAACCAACCAACCACAAAACTTTTGGGATTTACCATGCATTGCGAAATCTTTCTGGTGAACGGCTTAGGCAGTGAAGGGTTCCTGAGTCTCTGAACACACCGAGTGGGTACCTCTGGTGTAAAATTTGGCCTCTACCCCCGCTATGACATCGTTTAAGTGATGTCTCCGAGGGGGACATCTGGTGTGCTGTGGTCATCCTGGGACTCAGCCCGTGGCACACGAGAGCTAGGGTCCGTTCAGGCTTTTCCCAGCTTATCCATCGGCAGAGGCTTTTCCCCAGCGGCGTCTCCCGCTGTCATGCAATCTGGGAAATTTTTAATCTTTGCCATTTGTAGACTTCCTGGTGGGTCTGCAGATACCGGTAGGATATTTGCATGAGCGGATGGTAGCAAGGAGTACCTGAGCTTGCTTTTCTCGGCGAGCTTTTATGGATCCGTTAGAAGTAGTCCGTGATCTGGCAGGAAATTACAGAGCAGAGCTTAAAAAACACCTCATCACAAACAAACAACACTTCCTAAACCTATAGGGCAAACCACGCAGCCCTGTCCGTGCAGTCCACGTTGCAGGCAGAGGAAAATCTCTCTCTTCTGTTGCGCGGGGTCTGCTTTGCTGTCATGAAGCAGGGCAGCGTTGTCTCTCTGCCATAACCCTCGTTTGGGCCCAGAAGTCGTAGAAATGACCATGATGCAGCCCAGTGGCAAGAGAGTTCTTCTGGAGCAGCCTCACGGTCACCAAAGAGCTGTGTGAGAAAGCCAGTGCGGGGAACACCTCCACACGCCCCCGCTGAAGGTGGCAGAGCGTGGCTTCGTCCTTCAGTGCAGTGAAGAAGAGGAGCCCTGAGGGAGCCTTTCCTATTGTGCTGAGTTTAAAACATTACGCAGAGGCTAGGCAGGAGCGGCCACAGCGGAGGAGGCTGAGAAGACGCTTCTGGCAGCCGGTGGTGCTGGGGACACACCTCCACGCCGGGCCGGCTGGTGGAGACAAGCTGGGAGGAGACTTTGACCCCCGCGTTGGGCTGTGGATGGCCAGCGTGGGTGGCGGGGTGGGTAGCAGCGTAGCAGGACGGTTTCTGTGGGGTCCGTGGTACGGCTGCTGGCACCAGTGACTGTGGGGTCCGTGGTACAGCTGCTGGCACCAGTGACGAGGCTTTCACTCTCTGTGGGGCCGAGGAGGCCTGGTGCGGGTGGGAAGGCGGGTGTGAGGCTGTATGCCCACGCTGCACACGGGAACACCAGGAGCCATGAACGTGGGTGGTGAAAGGCCTGCGAAGGGCCGGTATGGCCCTCGCATCCTAGCGGTGCTGGGAATGGCCGAGTTGTGCGGACAGGTGGGAGCGAGAGTGAAGAGATGTTGGCTTTGCAGTGACAGCACCAGAGAAAGCCACAAGGTGGACATATGCTCTTAGATGGGTTTGCTAAGGCTTGGAGCACCCTCTTCCCAGCCCTGGCCCCTGTATAGCTCTGTCAGCCAACCTCAGTCCTGGCTTAAGTCCTCCTCTGCTGTTCCCTCTCTGGGACCTCTTCCTCCGGCACCAGCCTTTCCAACCCCCATCCCAAACCCACCGCAGTGCTGCCATAGAGTGCCATCGCATTCTGCACATGCATTTTAAATGCAACCAGCTGTTCTCCTGGAGGTGACAATGCCTGCCAGCCATGTGATATGCTAGGTGGCAGGCAGACACTGCCAAACTCCGGACGTCTATGATTTTCTCCC